AGGATTATAACATATTCTTTATCATTGACTCATCTTATCTGCAATAAGATTTATCAGAAATTCTCTCATGTGTTTATTGTTGACTGTCTTCCCCCAATAAATTGTGAGCTTAAATTGGACAGGGGCTGCCTTATCCCACACTATACCCTCAGCACTCAGATCCATCCAGAGCATAGCCCCAAGACCTTTTTTTTTTTTTTTTTTTTTTGACTTTCATAAGTATGACTCGCCTAAATGCTGTAAATACAGATTCCTAGGTCCCTCCTCCAGAGATTCTGATACATTTGAGTTAAGGTATAAATACTAAAAAAACACCTGAGATTAGGAATCTGCTGCAGGTATACCTCACTTGAAGACATTGTTTTAGGGGCACATGGGTGGTTCAGTCAATTGAGCAAATGACTCCTGGTTTCCAGTCAGGTCATAATCTCAGGGTAATGAGTTCGAGCCTGGCATCAGGCTCCACACTCAATGGGAGTCTGCTTGAAACTTCCACTCACGTGTTCTGTCTCTCTCTCAGAGACATTTTTTTTTTTTTTTTAAAAAGAGACATTACTCTATAAATTTATTTTGGAGAGGAAAAATAAGTATCTGCTGCTACTTTTCTATACACAGCTCTGTTGCAAATATAAAATCATCTCAAATAACCCCAATCCTCCCACAGTCTCTAAACTGCACCCCCTTTATTAGAATGAATATGATTATTCACATAAAAAATCATCTCTGCTTTGAAGCCATATAGTTTTAGACAAACTATGTTTGTGATGGTTCTGATAATGTTCAAAATGATGATCTAGTTCACAGAAACCCAGATACTTAAATATATACACATTCAGGAATTGAGAATTTAGTAAAAAAAATTTTTTTAAATCCCAAGGTGAGAAAAACTGCCCGGGAGAGGCCAACTAAAAGATCCCCACAATACTCTTGGTTTGGATTGGAAAACATAGAACCAGAAGAACAAAATCCTGTATTCCTTAGCTTCTTATCTGCTTTAGTGTGGATATAAGAGAAGAGGGACATTTTTTTTTTTTAAGATTTTATTTATTTGACAGAGAGAGACACAGCGAGAGAGGGAACACAAGCAGGGAGAGTGGGAGAGGGAGACGCAGGCTTCCCGCGCAGCAGGGAGACTGTTTCATCATTTCTGTATCTAAAGTAGATGCCC